CCCCTCCCCCCCCCCCCCCCGCAATATCTGGCCTGTGTGACCGGGCCCTAAAAGTGGAAGCTGAAGTGTCCATCCCTATGAAACAGTAGTACCTGTTTTCACCTTCCTGACTGGTGCTTCTTTCTCTGCGTGATTCAGTATTTTGAATTTTAGGCTCAATTTCACATTCATCTGAATGTATTGGCCAGAGCTTGGGCTGCTGATTTCCTAATATGTTTAGAACTGGGGGCAGAAAAACTTGCCTAGTCCTCCAAAATATCTGTAAGAACTGGGAACGATAAACAGGGAGAGTGGATGTACGGCAGCCTCCTGTTTTCATATCGCTTTAAGTAAGACAGAACTATCCGGTAGCTCTGTATGATTACATTCATGTAATTTTTTTAAACATAATTATATATACTGATTCAGTTCTGAAGGCTCTGTTTGCAGTTTAATTCCCAGACGAGTTCATCCCTTTCTGAAATCTAAACCAAAACCAACAACCTAATGATAAATGTGCCAGTCTCTATCACAGCTGCTATTGTGGAAGCACTCTGTGTTAGCATGTGTGTAATGTGATGCACCTCTCAATTGGGACAGAATTGCAGACTGGAAGTCTCTAGCCTGGGCACCATGTAGAGTCGATGCACTATGTGAAAAGGTGATTTTTGTCTTCTGTATTAGCTACTTACTCACTTGTGGTAAGAACCTTGGCTGAAAGCCACTCTATCATACAGATGCATAGTGCTCCTTAACGGAAAGACACTTTGGGGTCCATTTTTAAAAAATCTTCCCAGTTGTATATATTCAGTGCTGCTGTTCCTTCTGCTGAAATTTTGTGTAGCACCAGTAAGTTGTTTGGCACAAGACAGTACCTAGAGCCAATGTTCTTTCTAAAGTCATACAGTTTAAAATGCTGCTTTAAAAGATCCTTTGTTAAGGGCAGGTAAATCAGTCAATCCTAAAAGAAATCAACCCTGACTGTTCCCTGGAAGGCCAGATAATGAAACTGAAGCTCAAATACTTTGGCCACCCAATGAGAAGGGAGCACTCACTAGAGAAGACCCTGATGCTGGGAAAGATTGAAGGTCAAAGAAGACGGGGACGGCAAAGGATGCGATGGTTGGACAGTGTCACCAATGCAACGGACATGAAGTTGAGCAAACTTCAGAGGACGACAGAAGACCGGAAGGCCTGGCGGGTTCTGGTCCATGGGGTCGCAAAGAGTCGGACTCGACTGTGCGACTGAACAACAACAACAAAAAGCATAGCTCAGGGACTCCTGGGTGGACCCTAGCAGAGCACCGGAGCTCACAGATCCCTTATTGAGTTTGGCACTCTCTCCCACACAAGACGAGTCACTAGCAAAGAGCTCTTCAACTTATGCCCCTCCAGTGTACAGGATGTTTTGCAGAGCCTTACTCTTACTGTGCATCTCTGCCATTTACTCTAAGGGCCAAACTAGGTCTGTTGGGGCCAGCCACGTGTATTTATTAATCATTAAGTGAGGGGCTGGCAGGGTCTTGTTGTTGTTGTGGTTGTTATAAAAGAGCCCATGGGTGTGGAGAACAAATCCTCTCCTGCTTTACCATCCTCTCTGTGTTCCCCAGTCCAACTTACTTCTGTTATAAGAGCTGGGCTGAAAAGTGCGTGAAGGATTGGAACACAGTGAAGTAAGGCAGAGGAAGGGCGAGACTTGATTTTCTTTCACCTACCTGCTACTTTCCATGTAAAAATATGAAGGCCAGTAAGCTGCAGGAGTTTAGATAAGCTACTCAGAACAGGAAGCAGGAGATGCACTGTGGTGCTGAAGAGGTCTTGGCAATAGCCTATGATCAGAAGAAAGGATAGAGTCATAAGAACGTAAGAGAAGCCAATGTTGGATCAGACCAATGGCCCATCTAGTCCAACACTCTGTGTCACACAGCAGCCAAAAATACCAGGTGCCATCAGGTGGTCCAGCAGTGGGGCCAGAACTCCAGAAGCCCTCCCACTCTTGCCCCCCCCCCCAAGCACCAAGAATACAGAGCATCACTTTCCCCAGACTGAGAGTCCCTATCTATACCTTGTGGCTAATAGCCACTGATGGGCCTCTGCTCCATATGCTTATCTAATTACCTCTTGACGCTGTCCATGCTTGTAGCCGCCACCACCTCCTGTGGCAGTGAATTCCATGTGTTAAATGCATACACAGAGGTATATGCCTGGGGATAAAGAGTGTAGTAATATCCATAAAATCAGAGGGAACATTATCTGTGTATAGGGTAGTAATGGTGGTTGGTCTAGAAATGTTATCTGATTGCTCGTGTAACAGCAGTTGAATAGACAATATGAAGTAAGAGTGAATGCTTCAGAGAAAATGGCCGAATATTTTGGTACACTGCACAGAATTGTATTTGGTTCTGTTTTAATCCATCAGGAATGCGAGTGGTGTTGATCTCATACAGAAAAAAGGAAACTGCTATACACACTCTTCCAAGTGGTGAGGATACAGGGGCTCGTGTTTACCTGGGTTGATTCCCTTTGGAAGAGAGAGCATTGGAGATTTGTACCATTTTTGTAGTGTTTGGCGCATTTACTGGTAGAACATGGGTGGAGGCAAAGTAGCGCTTCTAAAGGGCAGCAGATGCCATGAGCGTGACCCTGTGCTTCAGCCAGCCACCTGCAGAGTCTGTTTGCAGTCTGCTTCTCTCTGTCTCTTGCAGTATTTTAACTGTGCTTTCTTTTCACATCCTAAGTCAATGTGACAAATAGACAAAAAGGTCACAGCCACAAAAACCGCATCACAAGACACATATGAATCTGTCAGGAACAAACGCTATACAAAAATGCAAAAGAAATAACAAACAGATGAAATTGACCAATGAAAGTCCTTTAGTGAAAGAGAATCTTCAGCAATATGGACTGAAAGGTAAGTGGAAAGATGGGCTGACGAAAATCCCCGAAGTCAAGTTCCGTTTCGAAGAAACTTCCTCTGAACAACATCGGTTCGTCTGAACAACATGCAACATGACGTTTTACCTGATCTCATCAATTGCAGCCATTCCAACCGGATAGTATAAAGATCCAGATCCATGATCTATAACCTCTCTCTCAAAATGGGCATGCTCTGTGTCTTGTTATGCGGTTCTTTTCGCATCCTGCCAGCCTAGCAGTTTGAAAGCAAGAAACTGCAAGTAGGTACCGCTTCGGTGGGAAGGTAACAGCATTCTGTGCGCCTCGGTGTTTAGTCATGCCGGCCACATGACCACGGAAACGTCTTCAGACAGCGCTGGCTCTTCGGCTTGGAAACGGAGATGAGCACCGCGACCCTAGAGTCGGACTCGACTAGCTTTTGAGCAAGGGAAACCTTTATTTTTACCTTTTTCTTTTCACATACACACTCACACACCTGCCCCTACCCTCCAGTTAGATGGGAAGCTTGCCTCTTCCAAGCCCTGATGGCCACTTGAACAAAATAATTTCCTGACAATGCACATGAAGGAGATAGCTACAAGAGTTATGACATCTACAATGGTTACCTTTGTCATGTAGGATAGACCCACTAATCAGAGGCCAATGCTTCAACAACTACTTGCACTGTTTCGAGTGGGGTGTACGTATGCATTTCTTGCCCATTTCTTAGACATTTTGTTGACAGTATGGTTAAAATGACTACACTCAAGACCGTTCTGTTCTGTTCCAGGTCCCAGACTACAACTACAGAGCTGAAGTGAATAAACTCATCCCTCATTTAAAGAGTTTGGATGAAGTACCAGCAAACCAAACTGCCATTCCATGTAAAATGAACAAAGATTGGCTATTGGTCAAGGAATCCATAAAAGAAGGAAGTATCATTGAAGAGGCAGCCGGTTTAGGTATGCTAAATTACTATAGAAATCATACGTTCATTAGTGTTTCAGGAATCGGAAGCCTGTGCATTCCCTCCCTGGGCACAGCAAGGCGCAGGCATTGTTATCGGGAATAAGAATGGGCAGTAACTTTTGGTTTATGCAGGACAACAGTAGAAGGGTGGAACTAGAATGGCAGAACTACATCTTCAAACATGGGTCATGTCAAACAGTTGTTAAGTGGAGAGGGAGGTGTATGGGCAACCTGAAGTAGAAAAACAGCAGGAAGGGTGTGCTGAAATCTTTCTTTACATGCTGCTTGCTTCTGCATTTTGGAGACGCAGCTCTGTTACCCTCACAACTAGTTTCATCAACAAAGTTTTGTTCTGGATAGAAGCTTTCGTGTCCGCACACACTTCTTCAGATGTGTGCATGCACAAAAAGCTTACGCCCAGAACAAAACCTTGTTGGTCTTAAAGGTGCCACGAGATTCAGACTTTGTTCTGTCGCTTCAGGCCAACACGGCTACCCACCTGAAACCAGTTTACAATGGCTCTTGGACTGTTAACAGAAACAATTTGTAACGCTATCATTTTGGTAAGGCTCTGTATTCACTGATTACATTTCATACGGCAAAATTCATTGCCCAGGAAATAGTATCCTAAAAATTCTTAGATGTGTGTGAGATCACTGTATTCATTTAAATTACCTATCCATTTACAAAATAAAACTTAGTAAGCCTCAAAAGTTCTTAGTGTCTCATTCTGTTCAGGAGTTAATGACCTGTATTGTACTGTGCTCTGTAATGAAGCTGCCCTTTTTATGAGACTTTCTCTAGATCACAAGAATTTCTAGGGAGACGAGACTTGTGCCGGGCCATATTTAAAAACCCTGCATTAGGGTAGCAGCAAAGGTACATTTGGTGGTGTTACTCCCACAATTTTTCACTACGGAACTCCCACAATTTTTCACCTAAATGTGAAAATCTAAAATTTACTCTAAAAAACAGTCATACTAATTTTTTGTTTAATTCCATTGTGAATGTGTGTTTTCTGTCTTGCCTTCTGAGACCTTAAGCAGCCATGGCTACGTACTCATTTGCACTGCCATGGTGTCGCAGTGACTAGAAACTGACAAATAAAGTAAAGGAATCATTCAAATCTCAAACAGGAGTTCTTGAAGTAGTTTGAGGGATATGTGTTCAACTATTGTTCTAGAGACTGAACATGAGAGAAGAGAAATGCTAAATTAACTTTAAGATAGGGAAATAATTTTTCCGTCTACTATGCTTTGTCATAGGAGCTGTGGTGGCTCAAGTGGTTAAGACGCTGAACTGCAGGCTGTGGAAGGTCAGTAGTTCAGCAGTTCAAGACCTGAGTTGCCGCATGACGGAGTGAGCTCCCGTCTCTAGTCCCAGCTCCTGCCAACCTAGCAGTTCGAAAGCAAGAAATTGCAAGTAGATAAATAGGTACCACTTTGGTGGGAAGGTCACAGCGTTCCGTGCGCCTTGGTGTTCAGTCATGCCGGCCACATGACCACGGAAACGTCTTCGGACAGCGCTGGCTCTTCGGCTTTGAAACGGAGATGAGCACCACAACCCTAGAGTCGGATTTGACTGGCTTTCAAGCAAGGGGAACCTTTACCTTTACCTTATGCTTTGTCATACTTTGCTAATATTGAACAATTGTGCCTTCCCTGTATCTTGGTGAAATTCTCCCCTCTCAGATTCTCATTCAGGATCAGTAACAAGAAGACCATGTTCTGCTGGAAGACCTGCCACAAGTAATTTCTTATCAGCTTCCAGACCACAGACTGCGCAGAGACCTCCTACTGCTCATCTACTCTCTAGTAATAACACCTTCGCGGAGCCCACAGTTTCTGAGGAGATAGCACCAGAAGATGATTCCAGTGACTTGACACATGGTAAAATATCACCTTGTACTGTTCTCCCCCACCTTCAACTCACAAGCTTCTCTTAAAGGAAATGTGGAAACACACATAGATGAGGATGAGCACTGTCTTCAGTGTTCCCTCTAAGCTGAGTTAGAGTGAGCCAGCTCACAGTTTTTTAGCCTCCAGCTCACACATTTTTGTTTCAGCTCAGGAAGGAGGGCTCCGGAGCAAACTAATTTATGCAGTAGCCAAATTGCTCACTCACAACTTTAATGCCGGTAGCTCACAAAGTAGAATTTTTGCTCACAAGACTTCACAGCTTAGAGGGAACATTTTATTGAGTGACACGTGCACATGGTGCCTTTGTACAGTATGACTGTGACCCTCCTTTCTTTTAACATTACCACCCCCTTTATCTGAGACACCACCAGGCAGGGCAGCCCAGTTCTCTCATCAACTGCCCCACCCAGATATTTCCCTGTGACTGGGTAGGGAACTAAATACTACTCCCCCATTCATACTGCCACCATACAGCTAAACATATAGGCTGAGATGTGACGGATTTGTGTGTGCAGGGCTATTTTTGGGCAGGAACGCACAGGAACGGAGTTCCGGCTGGCTCCCGAGTTGACCACACCCAGCAGGAACTCATTAGCATAATAGGCCACACCCAATAGCAGAAACTCATTAGGATTGGCTACATTAGGGGTGTGGCCTAACATGCAAAGGAGTTCCTGCTACAAAAAAGCCCTGGGTTTGAACAACAAACAAGGTAAACAGAATAAGAAGCAAAAGGTGGGTGTGGCTGGATGACTATACTTCTAGTAACACGGGGGTGTGGCCTAATATGCTAATGAGCTATGCTCTCATGGGTGTGACTGGATATGCTAATGAGTTTCTGTTGTTGGGTGTGGCCTATTATGCTAATGAGTTCCTGCTGGGATTTTTCTACAAAAAAAGCCCTGTGTGTGTGCATAGTTTTATCCCTTCAGGAATCAACGGTCCCATCAGCAAAAGAAAATAAACAGTTCCAATGGTGATGGGGTCAGAGGAATCCTTGAAGAGTAGCTACAGGGGCGGCATTAGTAAAGGAAGGTGATACTGGCAGAAGGTGACACTGACGGAGGTTCTATCATAGACAACGGCAGTGCCACTTCAGCAAAACCTCTTTAGTACTGCTCAGAAGAAGGCAATGGTAAATCACTTCTGATTATCTCATACCTTGAAAACCCCATGATGAGACAATCCAAAATGAAAAAAGATATAGTGCTGGAAGACAGGACCCACAGGTCGGATAGCACTCGGTCAGCTATCGAGAATAGCAGAGGATAAGTACAGTAGCACTATTCTTAATGACGCAGCTGGATTAAAGCCAATGGGATGTTCAGTGGTTGATATGAATGGATGCAAATGGAAACTCCAGAGCTGTTCAACAAATATAATAGGAACATAGAACGTGAGACATATGGATCAAGGTAAGCTCAAAGTTGTAAAACGAGAAATGGAACATATAACATTGCAATCCTGGGAGTTAGCGAACTAAAGTGGACTGGATTGGAACGTTTTCAGTCAGAAAATGATGAAGTGTTCTACTCAGGGAATGAAATACACAGAAGAAACAGAGTTGCTCTAATAAAAAGGCGAGATGTAGCCCAGGCAGTCAGGGTCTATAATGCAAAATCTGACCAAATAGTATCAGTCAGACTCCATGGAAAGCCTATGAATATAGAAGAAGAAGAAAAGATTGGATTTATACCCTGCCCTTCAGTCGGAGTCTCAGAGCAGCTTACAAACGCCTTCCCCTCCCCACAACAGACACCCTGTGAGGTAGGCGGGGCTGAGAGAGCTTTCAAGAACTGCTCTTTCAAGGACAGCTCTTGTCAGAACTATGGCATACCCAAGGTCATCCAGCAGCTGCGAGTAGAGGGGTTCTCCCAGACTAGAGTCCGTGCACTTAACCACTACACCAAACTGGCTTTCAAATGATATATAATGATATAACCGTCATTCAAGTTTATGATTCAACTGCAGCTGCTGAGGAGGAAGCTTTTATACAAGTGTCCAGAAAGAAATTGATCACATACCTAAACAAGATGTGCTGATATTCATAGGTGACTGGAATGCAAAAATAGGAAACAAAACAGAATCAAATACTGTTGGAAGATTTGGGTTAGGAACAAAAATGAAGCAGGACAGTGACTCATAGAATTCTGTGAAGATAGCGATTCGTTCATTGCAAACATATGTTTCAGGCAACTAAACAGAAAATTATATACATGGACATCCCCAGACGGCCAATATAGAAATCAAATAGATTACATAAGCAGAAGATGGAGAAGTTCTATTGTAGCTGCTAGAACAAGACCAGGAGCTGATCGTGGTACCGACCATTAATTGTCAATATAAAAAAATAAGAATAAAGCTGAAGAAAAACACCAAAAAACTCATATTGCCAAAATATAATCTAAGCAACATTCCTGAAGAGTTTAAAGACCTTGTAAAGAACAGATTTGCATTACTAAGTTCAAGTGAACAGGAACTGAAATAACTATGGGTTGAAACCAAGGAAGAATGCTCAAAGACTATTCCTGTAACCAAAAGAAATGGAAAGTCTTAATGGATGACTGCTGAAATTTGTCAAATTGCTGAAGATAGATGAGAAGCAAAAAAAAACAGAATTGGAACTCTACCTCCAACGTTCCAGTGACTGGCACATAGAGGGAACTATTATAATAACCAGTGTAAAGAAATAGAAGAGGACAACAAAAAAGGAAGAACAAGAGATCTGTTCCACAAGAACTAAGAAATCAAAGGGAAATTTAAAGCATAGTTAGGCATGCTGAAACATCAGCATGGAAATACATTCACAGAACAGGATAAAATAAATAAAAGATCAGAACAGTACACCGAAGAACTATACAGAAGAGATGAAGGAATGACAAATTGCTTCAAAGAAGAAGTTTGCAGTTTTAGAAGGTAAAGTGAAAGCTGAACTCAAAGCAGTTGGGAAAAACAAATCACCAAGAGTAGATGGAATATCAATAGAGCTATTTCAAGCTGCAGAAACATAGTCCATCAAACTCTCGACAAGAATATGATTTGACAGAAATTAACACATTCACAGTTTTATTCACTGAGACAATTCAGTCTAAGTCATCAGGGATGAACAAAAGGTAATTAACTTTTATTTAAAACTTTAACAACATTGGAGTGATCTATATGAACATGGATACATTTTTCAATACAAGAAGAAGAAGAAGAAGAAGAAGAAGAAGAGTTGGTTTTTATACCCCACTTTTCTCTACTCTAAGGAGTCTCAAAGCAGCTTACAATCGCCTTCCCTTCCTCTCCCCACAGCAGACCCCCTTGTGAGGTAGGTGGGGCCGAGAGAGCTGCGACTGATCAAAGGTCACCCAACAGGCTTCAGGTGGAGGAGTGGGAAATCAAACCCGGTTCTCCAGATATTAGTCCACCTCTCTTAACCACCATACCATGCTGGCTCTCTCGATTGCTTGATCCCTTACATCATCCTTCCAGTCCTCTCAGTTACAAAGTACCTTTTTCCCAGTCAGTTTCCAACGCAGTCTTCTTCGTTCCCAGACTCAGTGTCTCATCTCCTTTTTGTTCACCCCACGAACATTCTATCAGCTCTCATTGGTTGCACTCTGAGGCAGAAAGGGACTTGTCCATCCCATTGACATATTAAGCCCATTTTCTGATTTGTGCTATGCCACCTGGCTGGGTGGGGGTAAATCCCATTGAGTGGAAATCTAATGTTTTTCTTCGGAAAACTGCAGGGAAAATGCACACCCAGAAGGAAGATGGGCTTGGAGTGTTGTCTGCTGTAGAGCTTCTGGCTACTTTGGATTGGCTATTGAGAATGGTTATACACACTGAATCAATATAACGTGGACTTCTGTGTTCCCACCGGAACTCAAACCCTCAGGAGTTGCTACTGCTCCTTCTGCTTAGCGAAACAGAATTTTTCCAAAACAAGCTCTGCCCTTTCCCTCCCCCCTGGACTGGCAATAAAACTTGAGGAGAAGTTGCTTTGAGAAAAAGGTGGTGACATCCCATTTTCTTCATAAGAAAGGGAAAGGTCTGGGAGCATTCTTTGTGCTTCAAAGTCCCACTGTGGTAGCCTCCATAGGAAAAGGGTTTGTAAGCCTTTTGTCTAGATGTACTTGCCTCTTCTCAGGCAATCTGTTACCTAGTTTAAAAACAAATTAAGGCCCCAGTCACACGGGCCAGATAACGCCGGGGGGGGGGAGGCGTGGCTATTTGTGCCGCCGCAATTTAATCCGCCACTACCTGATCCAACACTGCAGTGGCGGACCAGGGTTGTTTCCGGCGTCATGTGTTTCTGGCGCGCTTCGACACGGTCTATCTGCGGCCCGTCGCTTTTGATAGTGCCATTTCACAGATACCTTTTAACTCCGAATCTTCAGCCGGACAGGACAGGTTGGTTACGGGTACACGATGCTTGCCAGATGTGCCCGTTTGATTGCACCCGTAAAACCCGCCCGGCATCCGTGAGTATCCCGCGGCAACTTCTGTGTGTGATCGGGGCCTAAGATTACATTAAAAATATTGGGGATTTTGTATTTAAAGGAGCATTTAGCTTTAAATAGATTTTGAACATGGAATTATATGATAATGATTTACCAGCATCCACTGAGAAGGTCTTCTCAGGCTGTTTCTCCTTTGCTTCATGATTAAGCATGTGATGCTATAACAGGAGTAGACCGGTATAATTGTAGCGTGAAGTCATTGTTGAACTTTTTGTGCTATCTCAAGTTTGTGTCTAACTGTGTGTGGTCACAGTTGAGGTTCAGTTTTAGAGTTTGAAATCCAACTCCACGATTTGGAATTTCAGGTCGAAGTTCACCCTTACCAGTATGAATGTAATTGAAATTCATCATCTCTCTGGAATCTCACACTATTGTTGGTAATTTTGAGTAACTAGTTTAATCTTACTCTCCCCCATTCATACTGGGTTTCCATCTATAGTTTTGTATAATTTGCATAGAGTGCTTGTAAAATAAAACTACACACACTTTTGTACTATATTTAGAGTATTTTTTTCATATAGTCTTTTCTCTCTTTTTCCGTTGTTCACTTTTAAGGACTTTTTTGTTGCCCTCTAATTTTTCCCTGTGTATAAACAGACTAGACATTCTGCTTTATAAAATAGATTTTAAAAGCATATGAAATCGTAAAGTGGAACAAACTGTTTTTCATTTCTTTTTGCCAGGTGTCAGCCGAGTTATATGTGGGAACCCTATCAAAGCTCTTCACGCACGGAGACAAAAACTAGGTGTAGGTTTTCTTTTGTACGTACTTTACTTTGGGGTGGGAGGAAGCTAGCGTAACACAAATGTTACATTACTTTTCTTCTAAGCCGATTTAGTAGATTTAGAAGGGTGCAACTATGATTAGGATTGCATTGTCAATGCACTAAAAGTTAACTGTTCAGAAAAATGTCATACCTTCTACTATGGCTGAGATCATACGCACAATTAGCCCCACCATAGGTGCGAATGCCGGGCGGCTTTAAAGGGCGCGATCAGGGAAGTGCCCTGCAGCTGTTGGCAACCCGTTCTGCTCCACCGCAGAAGCAGAGTTAAAAGACACCGGGGAAAATCTGGTAGTTAACGGGTTGCGACGGGCCATGGATGGACTTTCCCATGTCTGATCGCTCCAGCGCGCTCTCAGTTTGGTGTGCTGATATTCATAGGTGACTGGAATGCAAAAATAGGAAACAAAACAGAATCAAATACTGTTGGAAGATTTGGGTTAGGAACAAAAATGAAGCAGGACAGTGACTCATAGAATTCTGTGAAGATAGCGATTCGTTCATTGCAAACGAATCGCTCCAGCGCGCTCTCAGTTTGGTGTCGTTGTTAAGTGCGCGGACTCTAATCTGGGAGAACCGGGTTTGATTCCCCACTCCTCCACTTCCACCTGGCTGGATGACCTTGGGCAAGCCGCAGTTCTGTCAGAGCTGTTCTTGAAAAAGAGCCGTTTCTGTCAAGAGCTCTCTCAGCCCCACCTACCTCCCAGGGTCTCTGTTGTGGGGAGGGGAAGAGGAAGGAGTTTGTAAGTCGCTCTGAGACTCCCTTGGGTAGTGAAGGGCAGGGTATAGATCCAATCTCTTCTTCTTCTTCTTCTACCTCACAGGGTGTCTGTTGTGGGGAGGGGAAGGGAAAGGAGTTTGTCAGCCACTCTGAGACTCCTTTGGGTAGCGGAGGGCGGGGTATAAATCCAATCTCTTCTTCTTCTTCTCTCATGGCGTCGGGATGGTCTGATCAGGCCATCCCGACTCCGTGCCATTGTCCCCCCCCCTTTGCAGTATGCACATCATTGCAAGCTCCATAGGGAGCCCTCGGTGCGGAGGTGCGATTCATTGATCCCTCGGTTAAGCGCATGGGGGGAAAAGGCACACAAAAAGGTGACTCATCCACAGTTGCATCTGATCACGCATTGACAGACTGTGCCCGCAGCTTCAAAGGGAGGTGTGATCATGCAACTGCGGGTCAAATTCCTCCAGAGGAAATAGCCTCATTTCCCTCCCGTTTTTTCTGGTGCGTGTGACCGCAACCTATATGTAGAAAACCTTCTTCAGAAGAAAGAAACAATGGAGAAGGCTAAAAACATCTCTATACTATAGGGGTTGTGGGGGCAAATTCTACCCCTTGTAGGAGGCAGGGGTCATTTCCTGCAGGAGCACACAGGAGCGGAGCTTCGGCAGTAAAGAGGCCAGGGGGCGGGCACATGCAACAAGCCCCACCCCCTGCTCCAAGCAGCCCTCAGTCAGAGCAAGAAGCAGCCAGGTAAGCTGCAGAGCCTCCCCCCCCAGCCCCCTGGTCCAAAACAGTCCAGTGGCACCTTTAAGACCAAGTTTTATTCAGGCACAAGCTCTCCCTCCTCAGCGAGGACAGATCTGCACGTCCCCCCCCCCAATAGCTAGCAATCCAAAACAGTCCAGTGGAGCCTGAGCGGTGGGTGTTGCCTTCTGACACACTTCCAGTGAGATCAGGGGGTGTGGCGTATGCAAATAAGTTATGCTAATGAGTTATTTTGATGAGCTCCTGCACCTCTTTTTCTACGAAATGACCCCTGGGGGTTGTGGGGGCCATACCAAAACTCTGCCCCTTGTCGGAGGTATGAATTGCCTCATAATGTGCTGCCGTATCAGCCAGCAAAAAGGGGAGGCAGAAATGGTCTAAGGAGTTAAGGGTATTTCAGCCCCTGCTGAATAAACCCACAGAATAAAGGAGGGGGTGAGATCTTTGCATGAGATCTTCACGTTTTCCATCAAATAGAAATCTGTGCAGAATATCTGGGTCTAAAATATTAATAGTTAAAAACATGACTAGGCATAGACTTGGGAAGAAGTGATGGAGAGTCGTTACCCAGTGATGCAAGTTGTGGCTTCCCTATCCAAATCTAGAGCATTCCCATGTTAGGGAGGACCACTTGCATGTCCTTACAGGCCTTATGCACTCAATGGAAATGCAATCTCAGAAGCCTTTTATGAAATACTGATGTTCTTAAGTGAGGATCCAACCGTGGTCTTTCTGTATTCTGTACAAGTGCTGGAAATGTTAAATATATGTGATTGTTGCAGTTGCAATTGGTAGGATAATATTTTACACAGTTAGGCTAAGCTGCAGCTTATCTAGATAGTAACCTGGATGGTTTTCTGTCCCAGTTAATAACACCCCAGTTCCTTGTGTTCCCACACCCTCTAGCACCCAACCAAGACAAGCAACCCAGGCCAAAGAAGTGCACGGAGAAAATAGTTCAGTTCTCAGTTGCTCTCATTGTTTTATGTGGGACATAATAAATGGGCTACAATCTGGGACAGTTTAGAAGGGGCGAAACTTACATAAAAGTAGAGGTTCCCTTGCTCGAAAGCCAGTCGATTCCGACTGTAGGGTTGCGGTGCTCATCTCTGTTTCAAAGCCGAAGAAGCCAGCGCTGTCCGAAGATGTTTCCGTGCTCATGTGGCCGGCATGACTAAACACCAAGGCGCACGGAACGCTGTTCCCTTCCCACCGAAGTGGTACCTCTTTATCTACTTGCAATGTCTTGCTTTCGAACTGCTAGGTTGGCAGGAGCTGGAACTAGCGACGGGAGCTCACTCCGTCATGCGGCACCCGGGTCTCGAACTGCTGAACTACCGACCTTCCACAGCCTGCAGTTCAGCGTCTTAACCACTTGAGCCACCGCAGCTCCTTACTTACATAGGGCCCTCATAAAAGAAATACTTTCCCTCATAAAAATACTTTCCCTCATAAAAGAAATAGCTGCACTTCCCTGTTATGGAAAAAAAAGTGCTGCAGTGGAGTGGTTGTATATTACCTGCTACCCTTTGATATTGGTGGCTTGACCTCAACTGACAGAATCCATGAGGTGTGTAGTGTTACCTTTGAGAGCCATTTTGGTATCGTGGTTAAGTGCGCGGACTCTAATCTGGGAGAACCGGGTTTGATTCCCCACTCCTCCACTTGCAGCTGCTGGGTGACCTTGGCCAAGCCATAGAGTTCTGATAAGAGCTGTTCTTGAAAAAGAGCCGTTTCTGTCAAGAGCTCTCTCAGCCCCACCTACTTCACGGGGTGTCTGTTGTGGGGAGGGGAAGGGAAAGGAGTTTGGAAGCCGCTCTGAGACTCCTTCGGGTAGTGAAGGGTGGGGTATAAATCCAATCTCCTCCTCCTCCTCCTCCTCCTCCTCCTCTTCTTCTTCTTCTTCTTCGTGTGCTCTGAGCATTCAAGGATCTTTGCTAGACATAACTTGTCCTGATTCTGTAGTACACTGGCTCCCTACCCTCACATGCACAGTATTCTTCTAGTTATAATAAAATCTATTTTGTCTCTTGGTCATGGTGGACGTCTGGTGGGAAATCAATATTTATTGATTTTCCACGTAATTATTGTTTACATACATTTATACATTTTCCACGTAATTATTGTTTACATACATGTATACATATATATATTTGAGTCTATATTCTCCACACTTTATAAATCCAATTATACATACTTCCCCATCTTCCAAAAAATACACTTTCATCTTTGCCTTGCAATGCCAAACTTAAATTATCCATTTCTGCTACCTCTAACAGTTTACAAATTATTTCCTCTCTTGTGGGATATTTATTTTGCTTCCAATACCTGGCCAACATTATCCTTGCGGTTGTCAAAATGTATATTATCAGATATTTAACATTTTGTTTATAACTCTCCGGTACCATATTTAATAAAGCTATTTCGGGTGTTAATACAATTTTTAAGTCCATAATATCTAATATCACACACCCCTAATGTAGCCAATCCTCCGAGAGCTTACAGTAGCCCCTGTAAGAAGAGCTCTGCAAGCTCTTGGAGGATTGGCTACATTAGGGGTGTGTCGCCTCATATGCAGAGGAGTTCCTGCTACAAAAAGTGCCCTATATTTGACACCCTGGGTGGAAGCTGACAGGTGAAATTGCCGGGATATGTGGGCTACCTTGCCCTTCCTCAGTTTCCTGAGTAATGACTGATGAGGCAGAGAAGTGCACTGCTAGACTACCACATTAAGGCAAGCAATAGATAGGACGGGGCATGGGGGTTTGCCTGGGAAAGTAGGGGAGGCCTGCTCTTCTTTCATCCTGCCATAGTGTGCCAATTCACAGCCTTTCATGGCACAACAGCAGCTCCCTAACAGTGTAGTGTGCCCCGGCCATGACTGGAAGGACTGTTTACACCAAAAAATGGTTGTCCAGTGTTCCCTCTAAGCTGAGTTAGTGTGAGCCAGCTCACAGTTTTTTACCCTCAGGCTAACACATTTTTTGTCTCCGCTCAGGAAGGATGGCTCCAGAGCAAACTAATTTATGCAGTAGCCAAATCACCTGCTCACAACTTTAATGCCAGTAGCTCACGAAGTAGAATTTTTGCTCACAGGACTCCACAGCTTAGAGGGAACATTGGCTGTGACAGATGAACTTGTAAATAAATAAATATATGCCTTAAAATGTCAGTCGCTTGACATCAGGAAATGAAAAGCCTCTAGGGGAGAGCGATGAGCTGCAAATGCCTTCTGACAAATTCGACAAATGCTTCAGTCTACAGCAACGAACACATTCCAGCCACCGTGTCATCCAGACGGCTCTGAAGAAGCCAGGGATGTGAATGTGGAAGACATCTTTGCTGAGCTGAGAATTTGGACAGAGCAGTATAACCAGTAAGTTCAGATTTGGTCTCTAAATCGGGAGTCTCTAGAGCAGTGATGGCGGACCTTTTAGAGACCGAGTGCCCAAACTGCGACCCAAAACCCACTTATTTATCGCAAAGTGCCAACACGGCAATCTAACCTGAATACTGAGGTTTTACTTTAGAAAGAACAACTCATACATTAACTTAAGATGATCCAAACAAAGTAAGGAAAGCAATCCCAAATGCTTTCATCTACTTAAAATTATTTGGCAGAGAATGCGACACTTTAACGATGGTCTGGGCCTGGCTGGGGCGATGGCACACGTGCCCACAGAGAGGGCTCTGAGTGCCACCTCTGGCACTCGTGCCAGAGGTCATTTTGGGGGGGAACGCGGGGGAACGCAATTCCCCCGGGTGAGATGCAGGGGGCGGGGCACATGACGAAGCCCCGCCCCCTGCTTCCGGCCGCCCCGCTTCCGGCCCTCATTCAGCCAGGAGGAGGCAGGAGAAGAGGGAGGGTAAGTTGCTTCCTCCCCGCCTCTCCCCACCCCTGCCTGCCTGGGGCCAGGGAGGGCCTTGGCAGGGCTTCCTCGCACTCCCGCTGGCCTTGCAGGTCCACCGCCGGGCCCCTGATGTCAGGGGGTGTGGCATATGCTAATGAGTTATGCTAATGAGTTCCCCTAGCTCTTTTTCTACGAAATGACCCCTGACTCGTGCCATAGGTTTGCCACCACTGCTCTAGAGTATGTCAAGTAATAAAGCCTCCCTGTATGGAACTAATCAGGTTTGTGGCACGATGCAGTATTCCTAAGGGAAGGAGAAAAAAGGGGGGATGTTACCACTAGCTTCTTGGATGGCTCAAATCGGTGTTGGTGCAGTTATGATAAGGAAAGGAGCCATGATAATGCCGTGTCTCTCAACCCATTCAGGGTGACCTCTAGAGAATCCTCATACCTCCACAAGTCCCAGCCCACGCTTTGACTGCCTTTGTTCGATATTATCATATGACTAAAAGGACAGTTGAGTTTTCTTCGTGTTCCCACTAACATAACAAGCATTACAGCCACCCTGTGGCAGTGTTGGAGAACTGCCTTGGACTTTTACGTTTCGAGGCTTTCCATACTGGAGCTGATTTGCAGCCTTCAACTTAAGACACCCCTGCTATGGCTAGGATAAATTATCTGCACAGATTGAAAAATCAAGGGACGGGATTTTGTCCTTCAGGTTCCTGCTTTAGAGTGTAAAATGTGGGGAGCTCCTGTGCCGTATGGCCCCTGCGCTTTCCACATCTCATGTCTACGTAATGGAGCCCCCTTTTTGCTATCCTCTCTCTCCTTGTGGCATTTCTTCACAAGACAAGAGTTGCCAAAGCCCAAACCTAAGCATCACTCAAAAGAGCTGTAAGATCCTGTTATTTCAACTGGCATTAAGAGTAAGACTTTCTTTTAGTGCTAGAGTTACAGTACATATCCTACAGATTTAATCTGGAATCTTTTTAGTCTTGTCTAGATACGGCAGGTATACATCTAATCTAAGATATTATATCTTAGGGCTCTTTTTGTAGAAAAAGCCCAGCAGGAACTCATTAGCATAATAGGCCACACCCAACAGCAGAAACTTATTAGCACATTAGGCCACACCCCTGACAGCACAGCTCATTAGCACATTAGGCCGCACCCCCATGTTACCACAAGTGTGGTCATCCAGCCACACCCACCTTTTGCTTCTTATTCTGTTTACCTTGTTTGTTGTCAAAACCCAGGGCTTTTCTTGTAGCAGGAACTCCTTTGCATGTTAGGCCACACACCCCTAATGTAGGCAATCCTAATGAGTTTCTGCTTTTGGGTGTGGCCTGTTATGCTAATAAGTTCCTGCTGGGCGTGGCCAACTTGGGAGCCAGCCGGAACTCCGTTCCTGTGCGTTCCTGCCCCAAAATAGCCCTGGATATAAATATATGAGTGTGATGAGCTTTGATGAGCTGACCTGCTGCGTTTTGCTTGCAGCTTGTTTGGTGACCTGGAAATGTGACATTTCTTTCTCTCTTGTGCTCTTGATCCAAAGCTCCCAATTCTGTCCCTGTTTCAATGTGTTGCCAACTATGTGATGTGTCCCTACCTCGCGCCCTTGAAGGGCATGGAGAGGCTTTCCCAGGTGAACTTTTTTGACAGACTTTGTGATTAAGGCTGTGGTCAGACGTGCCCGTTGGCGCGGTCGGGAAGTGCTCCCATTTCATCTGTCGGTATTTGGCACAGAGTTGCCCGATCAGACATCCCAGTATAATCTGGTTCGCAGTGGGTGCAAGCCCATCACTGCACGATCAGACGACACATTCGGGTGTGAGTGGTTCCCCCCCCCCCGGTCTTTTTGTGGGCATGAGCATAAATGAGGGATTGAACCCCCTTGCAAAGAGTTCTCCATGGTCCAATTATACAGTTGGGCGCATATAATTTAGCGCGGGGGGGGGGGAGAATGGCGCCGAGTCGGGATGGACTGAGCAGTCCATCTCGATAGCCTGAGTGTGCGCTTGAGTGATCAGACTAGGGGAAATCTGTCCATGGCCCGTCAGCAGGTGTTAGGACTGGACTTTCCCCGGTGTATTTTAACTCTGTGGCGGGGCAGCATGGGGTGCTGACGATTGTGGGTCCTTCCCCAGGTGTTGCTGTCTGATTGTGCACTTTAGATCTGTCAGGCAGGTAGGTCAGCTCTAAAGGCACGTCCGACCTCACCCTAATTCTCAAAATCTGGTCTGAATATTGTAGTGGGTATTCTTGAACGCTTTCTGTCATTGGGCAAATGGCACCTGTAAATGCCGCGCAAGCTCAGATTTTACTTTTTGTAGCATTTTTCTTCCTTTTTGATTCCTTACTGCCATAGTCAGTCAACAAAATACCTTTGGGATATTTTATACTTGCCTACCCAGGTCATACTGTGGCCATGCTGCGCGGTTGCTCCCCACATAATACTGGGAATCTTATGTTCTTTTTATGTTTCTGCAGCTGCTGAAGTGGAGACCATTTATGGTTTTTAGAGGCTTTTGGACCTTGGTTGAGTTCCTGGAGAAAGCTTGGGGGTCCATACTAGAAGCAATTCTGCATATCCCCCAGGAGCCCCATTTGCTAAAATAAGCCATTATGTCTTTGTTTTAAATGTCTTGTAACACACTATGAGCTGCGGTGGCTCAAGTGATTAAGACTCTGAACTGCAGACTGGAAGGTCAGTAGTTCAGCAGTTCGAGACCCAGTGAGCTCCCGTCTCTGGCCCCAGCTCCTGCCAACCTAGCAGTTCGAAAGCAAGACATTGCAAGTAGATAAATAGGTACTGCTTTGGTGGGAAGGTAACAGCATTCCGTGCGCCTTGGTGTCTTCGGACAGCGTTGGCTCTTCAGCTTGGAAATGGAGATGAGCACCGCAGCTCTAGAGTCGGATTCTACTGGCTTTCGAGCAAGGGAACCTTTACCTTTTACCCAACATACACTATGGCTGGGGGGGCAGGGTGAAAATGTAACTGAGTCGACGAAACCTTTCTGGCAGGTGCCCACACGCCATCCCAAGGGAGAAGGCTCTCCAGGTGCTGAAAGTGACACACAGTGACGAAGAGGAAGAAGCGTGGAGCCTGAGTGACAGCTGTGATGAAGACTCGAAAGAAGTGAACAGCGAAGACCTGAAGGAAAAGATGCCTCCAGATTCTTCCTCCCAGTCCGGCGTTTCTCAGTCGTCCTCAGGTAGAGAACACAGGGGGCTTTTTTAAAAATCCAGCATCTCCCACTTGATCGGAAGCTTTCGTATTATCATTGCACAAGTCTGTATTGAAAAAACAGTACGGCACTATTTAGTCCAGGTATAATGGGGACAGCAGAGGCATAGCCACCTGCTAACCCTTGAAAGTCGTCACCACCAGGGCCGGCTCACTCACTAGGCAATCGCCTAGAGCGGGACGGCCCTTAGGGGCACCAAACTGCACCCGGCCTCGTACTCTGGGAGTTTCTTGATTATTTGTGTTTTTCATTCTTCCTAAAATGCATTTATTTTTGAAAAATTGTGGGCGCCCCGGGGGGGGGGGCAGAAGGGATCCTCGCCTAGGGTGCAAAATAAGATGGAGCCGGCCCTGGTCACCACCAGGGGTCATTTCCTGCGGGAGCGCACAGGAGCGGAGCTCCGGCAGTAAAGAGCCCAGGGGGCGGGCACATGCAACAAGCCTCACCCCCTGCTCCCAGCAGCCCTCTGTCAGAGCAAGAAGCAGCCAGGTAAGCTGCAGAGACCCCCACGCCCCCCCCCCCGGTCCAAAACAGTCCAGTGGCACCTTTAAGACCTTTATTCAGGCACAGGCTCTCCCTCCTCTGCGAGGCAAGATCCTGCCGTCCCCCCCCCCCAATAGCTAGGAATCCAAAACAGTCCAGTGGTGCCTGAGCGGTGGGTGTTGCCTTCTGATACACTTCCGGTGTTGTCAGGGGATGTGGCATATGCAAATAAGTTATGCTAATGAGTTATGCTAATGAGTTCCTGCATCTCTTTTTCTACGGAATGACCCCTGGTCACCACCAAGATAGACCTACATTCCAGCCCTAGCCGGGTGCCCGGCCTTCAAAGAAGCTGATAAAAACAAGCCGGTTGTGAAATGGGGGAGGGGAAAGCACTGCTGTGGAGGTGAAGGCGTGGCTTCCAAACATTCTTCATTCTCTTCCCCTCCCCCTTTTAAGGGATTAGGTTATTAATTTATTTATTACTTGTTACCGTCTCTAGTTCCAGCTCCTGCCAACCTAGCAGTTCGAAAGCAAGAAATTGCAAGTAGATAAATAGGTACCGCTTCGGTGGGAAGGTCACAGCGTTCCGTGCGCCTTGGTGTTCAGTCATGCCAGCCACATGACCACAGAAACATCTTCGGACAGTGCTGGCTCTTCGGCTTGGAAACGGAGATGAGCACCGCAACCCTAGAGTCAGACTCGACTGGCTTTTGAGCAAGGGAACCTTTACCTTTACTGTTTTGCAACCAGAGTCATAAACAGTCGATTTCCTCCGCAGTTTCGTGATCCTCAAAAAACAGGATCACGAAACTGCGGAGGGAATCGGGCGAAGCCGCGAGTCAAAATGCAGCCCCGCAGCTTCGGGTGTGAAACTGACCGATAGTATCGGGGCAAACAGCAGCGCAACATCGAGGCAGCTCGAGTGCAAAATCAGCCTCTGTTTGTAAGACTCCTGCTCAGCTCAAGCCTGGCCTGGAACACCATCAGTAGGCCAGCTCTTTTGAAATTGTGCCCATTAGCTGTGGTTTGGCTTGGCTAAAATAAACTAACTAGCAATCCATAAACTGCTTCAAGCCTTGGCTTGATCCATGGGCAAGAATCTTGCTAAGGGGACTCCGGAATATGTACTTTTGTGGATGGATGCTGCAGTGGGCATCTCCGTTTCAGTGTGGAAACAGGAAAACCTAGAACCTGGTCAGGGACTGAAATGGACAAGAATCCAGTTATTCAGAAGTGACAGAGTTCCTGTAATTTTTTTGGGTAGCGGATCTACACTTTTCATTTACAAACGATCTTCTTCGTGGTCTCTGTGCATCACGCCCATGGGGTTATGCGCCTGCGCTGATCCGAATCGGTGGTATGCAAAGGTCACAAAGGGATTTTCGCGCCTCCCTCCCAGGTACACCATCTTGCAAACTTTAATAGGGATGTTTTGCTTCCCCTTATCACTCAAACTGGATTTTTTGGGGGGGTGGGGGGGTGGAGTATCCACACAATGTTGTTCTCCATTCATTGTCTTCCAGGGTTTCCCACATTGTCCTGATAATTCCTAAACCTGCTTGGTATAAGCTTTCCCAAAAGATTCACAAAAGCTTGTATGCCTTATAGACAGGAAGTTGCATAGACCACCTGCCCACATTGGCATAATTTTGCCGGTATCATGGCCGCCATTTCCCATCTTCCCCCATGCCCACCTGGAGGCTTTAAAAAAAATGCCAAACACTTTAGTTGATGTATATCACCATAGCATAATGCTGTAGCGATATAGTCGCTATCTTTAGTTTTAAAAAGCCACCCAGGGGAGCAGAGAATGAAAGGTTACAAGGAGATGTCTGAAGAAAGTACGTAGAATCCTCTCCTGTGGATGCTTCCTTGTGAATGGCTCTGCCTTTGCAGTGGCAGTGACTGGAGAACAGGGATTCATCACCATAGGGAAATCTACCTGTGCTACTTTGCTAACTTCCTAATCAAGACCCCTGTGCTGGCCCCGGTGGGTCTGGTGTGGGAGCAGGCAGAAGTTCCACAGGACTGCCAGGCAGAAGGGACCAGGTAATCACTCACAGCAGAGGTCATTTCGGGGGAGATCACGGGGGATCGCAGTTCCCCCGGGTGAGGTACGGGGGGCGGGGCACATGACGAAGCCCCGCCCCCTGCTTCCGGCCACCCCGCTTCCAGCCCTCATTCAGCCAGGAGGAGGCAGGAGAAGAGGGAGGGTAAGTTGCTTCCTCCCTGCCTCTCCCCACCCATGTCTGCCTGGGGCCAGGGAGGGCCTTGGCGGGGCTTCCTTGCACTCCCGCCGGCCTTGCAGGTCCACCGCCGGGCCCCTCATGGGGCTCGGCAGTGGAGCTGCAAGGCCGACGGCGGCCGGGACCGTTGGGGGCGGAGTGTGTGGCCTTATGACACACATCCGGTGATGTCAGGGGGTGTGGCCTTATGACACTTCCGGTGATGTCAGGGGGTGTGGCATATGCTAATGAGTTATGCTAATGAGTTCCCCTAGCTCTTTTTCTACGAAACGACCCCTGACTCACAGTACAGGTGCAAGGCAGGAGAGTGGTCAAGAGGCAGTCCAAAGGTCAGGTATCCAGAAAGGGGACTCGTCAGTCAGTCTAAGAGTCGGGGGTCCAGAGATCTGGTGGTCCAGTGTTCAGTCCAGGTTCAGAGTAACAGAGGTTCCAGTCAGCAAGTCAGGAGACAAGGTGGGTGGTGATGCAGCCGTGGTATACCTTGCGTCCACAATAGGCAGCTTCCCACATCCTGGATTTATAGCTAACTCTCCCTGGGCTGGTTAACTGCTGCTAATCGTGGCACGCATCCCTGCAAGTACTCATCTGGCGACAGGTGCCTGCGATCCATCAAACGCCCACTGCTACGGGTTCTCAGCTCTGATCTCTGCTGACGGCGCCAGCGCTCAAGGGGTGTTGGAGGAACGCTGGGCCCGGCCTCCTCCCTCTCCTTTGTGTCTGATGCCGGTAACTTGCTTGCAGCTGGAGGAGAGGGCAAATTGCTTGTGTCTGGTCAAGAGCTCGGCATCTCCTGTCCCTGAAGATTAATGGGATCTATTGCAGCTGGCTGTTTCTCCCCCTCCGAGGAGGAGATATCGTTATCAGGCTCAGAACGAGGGAGATGTATGACAACCCCGGTGCTTGGTCTAGAACTGGACTTGCACTACGATGTGTGAAACAAATCCCTCCGTATGCTCAAAAGAAATAACACTAATTTGCCTCAAAGCAGTGACTTTGCATTCAGATGTGATACTCCAGATTTCAGACTATCATAGCAAGGAGCTGGACTAGCCGGGCTAGTGGCAGAGACTGGGGGCGAGGGGCATAGAGCATGACAGGGAGCTTTTCAGGTGGCACAGATGCCGCCTACTTGAACAGCTGGAAGCCCTTACTCAAACATCTCCTTCATTCCCCCAAATTTCCACAGAATTGTCAATCTGTGTCCAAACTTCCCGTGGCAATTATCAAGACTTTTAGCATACTGTTAGTCAAAAATGGAGATTTAGAAAAAAGCAGTTTTAGAAAAGAACTTCTATATAGCACGGCATATTGCCGTGAAGAATATAGCTTGCTCTGTGGTATCTTTAACTTGAGTATTTAGAGTAGGGGTGTCAAACATGCAGCCCGGGGGCCAGATGAGGCCCCCAGAGGGCTTCTATCAGGCCCGCAGTGGAACTGGCTGACTTCTGCTTCTTCCAGTTCTGCTGCTGCTGCGTCACTGTAGATTTGCAGCTTACAGATACACACCTGAACAGCATACTCAAGATTGCAACAGCACAGACGTTTGGATGCAATAATTCAGAGCAAGAGGTGTCAGTTATCAGACACTGTTAAATAAACAAAGTATTGCAAGAGTGCTGATGTTTTAAGCATGTTTTTATTTTAAGTAAAATAACCCCATTGTGTTTGTGTCCTTTATAACGTTTATATCTCCCCTACCTGGCATTACATTTTATGACCCACATGGCCCGGCCCAACAAGGTCTCATTTATGTCAGATCCGGCCCTCCTAACAAATTAGTTCAACACCCATGATTTATAGAGTTTGACCGGATCCTTCAGGATTTAGAAACTGTTCCTAACACATAAATCAATGGGAGTTCAGGTAGTTTCCCATGCCCTGGTATGAACACAAGTGCCCAATCCTAAATCCATCGAAATCACGAAACCATCTCAGCTAGGGTGGCTGCTGGAGAATGGTCTCAAGTTGGGAAAGAACTTTGCTTCTAAATCACGTGCTTTCCTCTTGCATTTCAGATTCATTGCACGCCTCGGAAAATGCATTACCTGCTCTTATAAAGCACCCTCTTGTACCTTCTCCTCCAAAATGTCCCTCGCCTGCATCCATACAGGGTGTGAAGGGTGGGCTTGTCAGAGGCAGGCGTTTGAAAGTTTCCAGCTCAGAAAAGGGAGCTCTGCTGAAGCCAACTTTTTCATCAACTGTGAACAGAGATGTAGTGAAGCATGTGGTTGAGAAGACTACTGTTCTTAGTCTCTGCGGAAAACCTGATGCCTCATCTAACATATCCATATCAGGACAGAGGTATAGGACTTGTGGCAGCATCAGCAAGCCAACCAGAAGGCCCATTTCAGGACCAGCAGCAATGGGATCAACAAACATCAGGTTTGGCTATTTAAGTTAAGCTAGGATTGCTAAAACAAATTTTAAAGATGTACATGGGATAAATGCTGGCTCATTGACTCTGTGATGATAACATCATGACCAGGGGTCATTTCATAGAAAAAGAGCTGCAGGAGCTCATTAGCATAAGGTATGCTAATGAGCTACTATGCTATTAGCATAATAGCTCATTAGCATATGCCACGCCCCCTGACATCACTGGAAGTGATGTCAGAAAGGGAAGCAAAAAAAGGGGGATGGCATCTTCAAAAGCCTCCCCTTCCCTTCCCCAGCCAGCCGGCGGGGGGGGGGAGTGAAGAGAGAAGGGGTTTAAAGTTTAAACCCCTTCTCACTAGAGTTGGGCTGCAGAAGGAGGAAAGAGGGAAGGAAAGAGAGAGAGGGTAGAGAGAAGGAAAAAAGGAAGGAAAGGGGATAGAAAGAGAAGTAAAGAGGAAAAGAAAGAGAAGGAAAGAAGAAGGGAAAGAAAGAAAGAGAAGGGAAGAAAGGAGGAAAAGAGGAAAAGGACAAAATAGGGTTGCCAAATAGGAAAAACTTACCGGCGGGGGAGCTTCCAATCGCTCCAGGAGCCGGCCGGGGATATGTGTGCGCGCGTGGAGAGAAAGAGAGAGAGTGAAGGAAAGAAGGAGGAAAAGAGAGGAAGAAAGGTAGGAAGAAAAGGAAAGAGAGAAAGAAAAGGAAAGAAGAGAAGGAAAGGAGGGACAGAAAGAGGGCAAAGAGATGGGGAAAGGGAGGAAGGCTCTCCCACCCCTCCATCAAGCCCCCACTCCCGCGGATCCCTCACATGGATCCCACACTTACCGCAATCAAGGCCTTCCCCAGGCCGCAGTGCTCCGGCGCGGGCCCCGGGATACTGATGACGGGCCTCCTCAGGCCTCCCCCGGGCCACAGCGCTCCAGCGTGGGCCCCAGAAGGCCGACAACGGGCCTCTTCAAGCCTCCCCCAGGCCGCAGCGCTTCAGCGCGGGGAGCTGGGCATGGGGCTTGCCGCCACCACCATTTGTGCCAGCTACTGGGCTACCAGAGCAGTGCTCCGGCGTGCTCTGGCCCTAAATGACCCCTAATCATGACCATAATCCAGCATAGGTTTAGGCCAGGGGTGGCCAACCTTGCTTAACGTAAGACCCACATAGAATAAGCATCAGATGTTTGAGAACCGCAAGACATGAACAAATATTACACACACATTTTTATTGGAAAATATGTAAATTTGCTTTTTTATTAACATTAAATGAGACTGCGAAGAATAAAAACAAAAGGGGTGAAAACAGACATCAATAATGTTATTTATTTGTCCAGTTATATTTATTTGTCTAAGAGAGAGAGAGAGGTGGAAAGAAAGAGAGAAACAGAGAAAGCAAATAGAGGGAGGGAGGAAGATAGAAAAAAGAAAGGAAGAAAGGTGGAAAGAAAGTAAATAGATGGGAGGGGAAGGGGAGGTAAAAGAGAGAGAAACAAAGAAAACAAATATATGAGGAGGGAAGGGGAAGAAGGAAGGAAGGGGAGAGAGAGAGAGAGAGAGAGAGAGAAAGAGAAAGAAAGAAAATAGAAGGGAAGGGAGGGAGGAAGAAGGAAGGGAGGAAGAGAAAGGTGGAGAGAAACCAGAAACAAAGAAAGTAAATAGGGGAGAGAAGGAGGGGGAAGAAGGTAAGAAGAAAGAGAGAGAGAAAGAAAGAAGAAAGAAAGAAAGAAAAGAAGCGAAGAGATGAGGGAGGGGGAAGAAAGGAAGAGAGAGAGAAAGAAAGGTGAAAAGAAAGAAAGAGGTGGAAAGAAATCAAATAGATGGAAGGAAGGGGGAAAGAGAGAGAGAGCAAGCAAATAAATGGGGAGGGAGGGAGAGGTGGAAAGAAAGCAACTTTAAATATATTCTCCAACACCTCCACATGCCCCCATGCCAGTCAGCTTGACTTGGAGAAGGGATTTAAAGACACAAATGCCTTCTCCAAGCCGGCTGCGGGGCAAGGACTTGGAGAATGCCTTAAACTTTAAATGTGTTCTCCAAGCCCCCCACTGCTGTGCCAGCTTGGCTTGGAGAAGGGAATTAAAGAGACAAATGTCTTTTTTGAGCCAAGCCAGCCAGGTGGTGTGGCAGTGGGGAGGGGCTTGGAGAATACATTTAACTTTAGAGGGGGACGGTGGTGAGAAAGAGAGAGAGAAAGAAAGAGAGAGAGAAAGGTGGAAAGAAAGAAAGTGGAAAGAAAGCAAATAGATGGGGGAGGGGGGAGGGAGGGAGAGGTGGATAGGGAGCAACTTTAGCTTTAAAGGTATCCTTCAAGCTCCCCCCCCCAGCCAGCTGACTTGGCTTAGAGAAGGGATTTAAAGAGACAAATGCCTTCTCCAAGACAGCTGGGGGGGGGCTTTGAGAACACATTTAAAGTGGGGGGATGGAAGACCGATGGAGGAGGCATGCCTCCCCTTCACTTCCCCAGCCGCCCTGCTAGGAGCCGCACAATAGGCGTGAAAGGGCTGCATGTGGCTCCTGAGTCGCAGTTTGGCCATCCCTGGTTTAGGCATACTTAAACCCATAAGCCTCAGTGGATTTGTGCATATATGACTCTGTCAGTGTGGGGCTGCAGCCCTATTGATTTTATACTTGCGTTTTGATTCTGAATACAGTATTGTTGCCATTCTCAAACAAAGAGTTCTAAGTAGATTCACTAATTAATTCTATTTGAGATTGGTTATACCTTTCTTACCACAGCAGGCAAGGCTATAACGTGCCTCCAAGCATGTGAAGCGTGTGTTTACCCTATCAAGGAATAATCACAAATAGACACACATGGAACTTAGTCAGGAGGCCTGATTTGGATAGTTTTGAGACTCACCTTGTGTCTTTTTGAAAAACTAACCACTGTACTAGTAATCCTCCCTCTTATTTTCTATCCATCCTTCCCGCCCACCCATTGGCAAGTGTGCTACAAATGGTATTCAGTGTGTGGTCGGGCAGGGGTGCCTTGTATGTTTAAAATATTCATAAAGGTTAAAGGTAAAGGTTTCCCTTGCTTGGAAACTAGACAAATCTGACTCTAGGGGGTGGTGCTCATTTCCATTTCCAAGCTGATGAGCCAGCGCTGTGTGAAGATGTCTCCGTGGTCATGTGGCCGGCATGACTAAACGCCGAGGTACACGGAATGCTGTGACCTTCCCACCGAAGTGATACCTATTTATCTACTTAAAATTTCCTGCTTTTGAACTGCTAGGTTGGCAGGAGCTGGGGCCAGAGATGGGAGCTCACTCCATCATGCAGCACTCGGGTCTCGAACTGCCGAACTACCGACCTTACGCTCTACAGCTCAGCATCTTAACCTCTGAGCCACCATGGCCCTGTCCTTTTATAAGGCATATTCATATCGTGTCCTTTTATAAGGCATATTATTCATAGCAGTTTAATCCCCCCCCCCCAAAAAATAATAATAAACCAAGGCCCCGGCCACATGGGGGGAAATTGACGCGGCCAAAGTGTGGCTTTTTAAAGCCACACCAAAAGACACATGCGGCGGCGGGATCAAACAGATCCCCTGAGCCGCCGCGCAGTTGCTCCCCGGCACGATCAGATGCCGGGGGAGGGAAAGCCATAGAAGGGAGCGCGAGGCAGCCGGCTGCACATGTATGCGCATGCACAGTTCGGCTGGGAGCCTCAAATGCTCCTGAAGACGGGTGCGCTGGCGATTCAACGGCCGCACTTGCTGCGGCGTTTCAGGTTGGTTCTACCATTTTCTAGGGTATTTTTTACTGCGCATTTTAGGCCTGAAGGGATGGATTGGGGACGGGTGTGCGCCGATTCCCAGATGTTGCGGTGTGATCGCGTCTGTTTGCTGCGCCCCCGATCCGTTCCTCTTCCGGGCCAAAACCTCCCATGTGACCGGGGTTCAAAAATAACAGGCAATCCTAAATAGAGTTACACCCTTCTAAGGCTATTGATTTCAATGGAGTTAGTATGGTATAACTCTGTTTAGAATTGCAGTATAAAACAGTAACAGATGAGAACATATGATAAAGGTCGTAAAACATCAGCCTTAAAACATATGCAAATTAAAACTGAACCCAGATCTATTAATATCTTCAACCATAGCTGGAACCCCTTGACTAAAACGCCTAAGGAAATTATAAAAAGGATTTTTAGAATAAACATGTTAGTTTGTTACCTTAAAGCTTGTGAATCTGTCGGCAGGCGATTCTCTTGGCGACTCTTCCACAGTCTTGGCACCACCACCAAAAGGCCCTGCCTCTGGTTACTCACTGTTTCTGCCCATGGGGGCACAAATGGCAGGGCCTCAGGATAAGACTTCGGCCAGTGGGCTGGTTTGTACTGGAGAGCACTGTCCTTCAAGTTGTTGTTGTTGTTCAGTCGCACAGTCGAGTCCGACTCTTCGCGACCCCATGGACCAGCTCCCGCCAGGCCCTCCTGTCTTCCGCCGTCCTCTGAAGTTGGCTCAATTTCATGTTCGTTGCATCGATGACACTGTCTAACCATCTCATCCTTTGCCGTCCCCGTCTTCTTTGACCTTCAATCTTTCCCAGCGTCAGGGTCTTCTCCAGTGAGTGCTCCCTTCTCATTGGGTGGCCAAAGTATTTGAGCTTCAGTTTCATTATCTGGCCTTCCAGGGAACAGTCAGGGTTGATTTCTTTTAGGATTGACTGATTTGATCTTCTTGCAGTCCAAGGGACTCTCAAGAGTCTTCTCCAGCACCCTAGTTCAAAAGAATCTATTATTCAGCGCTCGGCCTTCCCTATAGTCCAACTCTCGCATCCATACATGACTACTGGGAATACCATTGCTTTGACCATGCGGACTTTTGTTGGCAGGGTGACGTCTCTACTTTTTATCATGCTGTTTAGGTTCGCCATCGCTTTCCTCCCAAGGAGCAGGCGTGTCTTAATTTCATGGCTGCTGTCACAGTCTGCGGTGATCTGGGATCCCAGGAACGTGAAGTCTGTCACTACTTCCATGACTTCCCCTTCTATTTGCCAAGGAGTCATGGGGCCGGATGCCATGATCTTAGTTTTTTTGATGTTGAGCTTCAAGCCCACTTTTGCGCTCTCCTCTTTCACTCTGAGCACGAGGCTCTTTAGGTCCTCTTCACTTTCTGCCATTAGAGTATCAAGTATCCCGGTCCAAAACTGTGTAGGGCAGGGGTGTCAAACATAAGGCCTGGAGGGTGGAACTGGCCCATGAGCAGCTGGTGCAAGAGAGGGAACAGGAGTCTGCTGTGGGGGGGGGGGTAGAGGGCAGAGCCCGTCCAATTGTGGCTTCGGCACGGCAGAACAACCTCATCCAGTTTGATGCAGTGGTTAAGTGCGCGGACTCTAATCTGGGAGAACCGGGTTCGATTCCCCACTCCTCCACTTGCACCTGGCTGGATGACCTTGGGCAAGCCGTAGTTCTGATAAGAGCTGTCCTTGAAAAAGAGCCGTTTCTGTCAGAGCTCTCTCAGCCCCACCTACCTCGCAGGGTGTCTGTTGTGGGGAGGGGAAGGGAAAGGTGTTTGTAAACCACTCTGAGGCTCCAAGTGAAGGGCTGGGTACAAATCCAATCTCCTCCTCCTCCTCCTCCTCTTCTTCTTCTGTCTGCTTCAGTGGCAGCCTCACTGGTAAGCTGGGAGCCACCACAGCCCCATTCATCCCGACTCAGGGTTCCAAGGGCGAGGTCGCACGCCTCTCTGCTCAGCCTGCAGCTCTGTGGATGGCCACGAGGATTGGCATTTGCACATGGCTGTGTGCGTGCAGATGATCCTCTACTGGGGCCTGCTGGTGGCCAGCGCCACCGCCATATTTGCACCCCCCATGAGTTGTCCGTGCTTTGGCCCATGGGGGGGGGCGTTCTTCAGCAGTTTCTTCCACACACCAGGGAACTGGTCTTGCCACCGAGCACACGACTTGGCAGCTGGCCCTCCCTTCCCCATAGGCCACCTGGCTAGGGATCCCAAGTCCCCCCAGGGGGCGGGGAAACCCCCGCCCCAGAGGCCCGTTCCCCGGCGCCGCCAGATCAGGCCCCAGGGGGAACTCCACCCCGACGTGCGCGTCACCCGGAAGTGACGCGGGCACACCAGGCACGCTGGGGGCGGCGCCACGACCATACAAGGGAAAACTATAGAGTTTTCCCTTGTATGGCCATGGCCCCGCCCCCAGCATGCCCAGCGTCATGACGTCACTTAAGGGAAAACTCTATGGTTTTCCCTTGTATGGCCGTGGCCCCGCCCCCAGCATGCCTGGCGTCCTCCCGTCACTTCCGGGTGACGTGTGGCGTGCGCGCAAGACGCCGGCCAGGAGCCCCCCGCTCCCAGCGAAGATAGACTTGGCAACCCTACACCTGGCAGACCTTTAGCGAGAGCAGTCATTCACTTAACACTAGAGATGACACACCCGTTTCTCTGCCAAGCCGTTCTTAAAGGTAAACACTCTCAATTCGGCCGCCTGACTCCTTTTGCTTCCAAACCAAAATATCAACACACGGTTCTTGCTGACAGATATATCCATAGTCCAAAATACAGCAACATCAGTCAAAGATGTTCCGGCTATACAAACTTTTCGAAAACCCTTTATCAAGACTGGACGTCTCATGAAGCCACGCCTACAGACTCAGTTTCCAGCGCTGAAGCTCCTGACTCTGGCACAGCGTGAATCTCTCTAATGAGGCGTTTTGGATTTTCAAAAAGTTTGTATATCTTTGACTGCTTTGACTGTATTTTGAACTATAAATGTATCAGTCAGCAAGAACCTTGTGTTGATATTTTGTTTGGCAGCAAAAGGAGTCAGACGGCTGAATTGAGAGTGTAGGAGCTGCGGTGGCTCAAGTGGTTAAGACGCTGAACTGCAGGCTGTGGAAGGTCAGTAGTTCAGCAGTTTGAGACCCGGGTGATGCATGACGGAGTGAGCTCCCGTCTCTAGTTCCAGCTCCTGCCAACCTAGCAGTTCGAAAGCAAGTAGATAAATAGGTACCACTTCGGTGGGAAGGTAACAGCGTTCCATGCGCCTTGGTGTTTAGTCATGCCGGCCACATGACCACGGAAACGTCTTCGGACAGTGCTGGCTCTTCGGCTTTGAAACGGAGATGAGCACCGCAACCCTAGAGTCGGACTCGACTGGCTTTCGAGCAAGGGAGACCTTTACCTTTACCTTTTTACCTTTAAGAACGGCGTGGCGTGTCATCTCCAGTGGTAAGTGAATGACGGCTATTGTTTTTCACTGGAAGTCCTTGCATACTTACTAGCCTTCGGCCATAGGCAGCTGCTGCCTCCTGTGTGGGGGAGCGCCAGGGATCTCTGCTTCATGGGTCACTGGGCGACCTGGGGCCTCTGCCACACTGGTGGCCACGGCCGCACGGGACTGGCACGGCTTGCCAACGATCTCTAGCTCGAACCCCCAGTACCGCCCCATCATGGGTCAGCTGTCAGCCTTGGCCAGAGGCGGTTGCTGCCGCAGGGGCAGCTGATCAGGCTTTGCTTGGCCTGGGTCCGCGGGTGTGGGGTTTTTTTCCCTTTTAGCTCAGCTTGCCTTCTGGGTCCTCTTCCATGGTAGCTCAGAGGCAGGCGGGGGGGGGAGCTCACAACATTCAGCCACTTCCTGTTTTTACCCTGGGGCCCGGGCTCACAGCATTGGCGGCAGAAGCAGGCTAGGGAAGGGGTTTGCCCCCCTCCGGGCAGCATGGGAATGGGTGCCCTCCAGTCTGCCCGTGCGGGTTTCCCTCCGTCCACGGGGCCTTGCAAGTGAGGACACACCCACTTGGAGCTTACTCCGAGCTTACCAGCTGTCCTTTATAAAGTTTATATCTCCGGTACCTGGCATTACGTTTTATGGCACACATGGCCCGGCCCGACAAACTCACATTTCTGCCAGATGTTCTGCCCTTCCGTCTGCAGTTATTCAAGGCAGGTATAATAAAAAACCCTACCCTGAAAGGCTGTGTTCATGCACTTCACGGGAGGTCGAAACAGTAGAGCATCTGTTTTCCAGTTGCCCGTTCGACAGAGAGGCCCGTCTTAAAATCATTACCCCATTCGTTGAACAAAGCAAGACTTCACTGGCTTCTATCAGATAAGAATGCAGAGATTCCACATTCAGTCGCTCAGTTCTGTGCATGAATTCTTAGATTGCGGGAGTCGCATTTTAAAAGTTTTTAAATTTAGATTTTATTCTGTATATTATCTCTGTTTTTTCCTTCTTTTTCGTACTATGTTTGTATTGTATGCTGGTCTTAAAGGTAAAGGTAAAGGTTCCCTTGCTCGAAAGCCAGTCGAGTCCGACTCTAGGGTTGCGGTGCTCATCTCCGTTTCAAAGCCAAAGAGCCAGCGCTGTCCGAAGACGTTTCCGTGGTCATGTGGCCGGCATGACTAAACACCAAGGCACACGGAACACTGTTACCTTCCCACCGAAGTGGTACCTATTTATCTACTTGCAATTTCTTGCTTTCGAACTGCTAGGTTGGCAGGAGGTGGAACTAGAGACGGGAGCTCACTCCATCATGTGGCACCCGGGTCTCGAACTGCTGAACTACTGACCTTCCACAGCCTGCAGTTCAGCGTCTTAACCACTTGAGCCACCACAGCTCCTTGTATGCTGGTCTTAAGACAGTAATAATAACACTCATTCACTCACTCACTCACTCACTCACTCACATTTATGTTAGATCCAGCCCTTGTAACAAATAAATTCAACACCTCTGGGGGCTTTAGAGATAAAAACGAGCACTTTACATTGTGCCTGAAAGCAAACTGGAAGCCAGTGTGGCGCAACATTCTGTTACTGGGATAATAGAATGCAATCAGGACCCAGATCACTGTGGCCAAATCATGCCCGTCATGGGTGGGGTGCAGCTAGCAAACCAGCAAAACTGACGATAGGTGTGATGGGCCACAGAGACCACCGCCTTCCTCTGTAGTCCTGGATCTAACAGCCTCCCCAGCTGAGAGCCTGTTCCTTAAGGAGGAGTAGAACCCTTTCAGAACAGGAGGACTCGCAAAGCACTACTGGCCTTATTAACCAACCACCACCTCTGTCTTAGCAGGACGACAGAAGAGACGTCTTAGTGGGGAATGTTGCTTGCACAAAGAATGTGCATCCACATTCTTATACTGCAGCTGAACAGCTTTCATGTTCTCCATGCTAGGGGTGGGGGATTTAGTTTTGTAGGAAAGTCTTCTATTCTTCTGTGGGGCATCCAGCACTAGGTGCAGGGGTCATTTCCTGCAGGAGCGCATAGGAGCAGAGCTCCGGCAGTAAAGAGCCCAGGGGGCGGGCACATGCAACAAGCCCCACCCCCTGCTCCCAGCAGCCCTCAGTCAAAGCAAGAAGCATCCAGGTAAGTTGCAGAGCTCCCCCTGGTCCCCCGGTCCAAAACAGTCCAGTGGCACCTTTCAGACCAAGTTTTATTCAGGTACAAGCTCTCCCTCCTCTGTGAGGACAGATCTGCACGTTCCCCCCCCCCCCCCATAGCTAGCAATCCAAAGCAGTCCAGTGGAGCCTGAGCGGTGGGTGTTGCCTTCTGACATACTTCCGGTGACGTCAGGGGGCATGGCATATGCAAATATGTTATGCTAATGAGCTCTTGCACCTATTTTTCTATGAAATGACCCCTGACTAGGTGTAAATACAGGTGAATACAATATGTCAACTCAGTCTTTTAAAAAATATCTGTACTCGTTCACTATGGTGTGGTGTTTTGTTGTTTTTCTCTCTCCTCAGAGCCATTGTGGAGAGCAGTCTTCACAAGATGATCAGCCCTCACCACCCAGCTGTCCACTCGTGCACAAAAACGCCGGAGACGCTTGCCGTGCTGAACGTGGGCCGTCCTCCGACCGCCAAGGCTTCCCTGCAGAGCCTGCCGAGCAGGCCGAATCTCTCTATGATAACTCAGAGCAAGTTTCCTGAGCTGTAGGAAACTCCTCGAACAGCTGTGTCTACCTCATGGCCAAGTCACAGAAACAGTCAGCTGTTTTCTGTCTTTCTCATTTCCTGTGAGTAACACAGGCTGGCTTTTTTGAGTCATCCTGATCCTTCGGCACGACGGTGGCTCTAGGCAAGCAAAGCAGTTTAAAGGAGACACTTTCAGCACCTCGGACAAAAGTTGTGTGGGAAGAGGGGCGCTTCAGCCCTGCAGCCGGCCATTTTAGCGGCTTCTGAAAGGAGAGATGGCTTGTGCCACGGCAGGCCCCTCAAAAGACGACTCTGCCTTAAAAATCAGCGGCACGGCTGACCTCACAAGCCGGGGTGGCTCCCTTGACTCATCCAGGGGGAGGAAGGTACAGACAGTCCTTCAGCCTCCCCTCAGATATCCAGCTGCAGCTGTTCCAAGTGTCCGCTGAGTCACCCTCACAGGCAAAACAGCAGGACAAACTGGGAGAGTTGTGTTGCTACAACTCTTGGATCGGATCTGAGTAGTCTCTCTGTTCTTTGGACAGAAGTCTAACTGGCAAAACAACATCCTCGATTCAGGGACTAGCTTCCCTTTCA